ATTATTATCATTTTCATTTTTAATCAAACCAGCTGTTTTTTTTTTTTAAAGTTGTGTGTGTGTAGTTTAACCCAATAGCTAAAGTAAGGAAGTAAATTTCATATCATTTACTTTTTAACCCTAATTTACTGATTAGGAAACAACTTCTTTTTCAAGAAAAGACACATTTCAAAATATGGTGGTAGTAGAAAAGCAAATGATAACAATGGAAGTGATTCTGAAGACATGAACAAAAAAGTTCATAATAGTTTACTCAGAAGTACAATCCCTCATAGACTGAGTTCAATTAGTAGCCATAATTGATGGTGAAGTGCTAAAACTACAGCATCTTATCTGTAGAAATGTATCAACTAATGAAGCAATGAAACCACCAACACTTAAGTAGCTTAAAAAAAATATTTAAGTGCCTTTTGCCTACCAAATATAAGAAATAAGAAAAAAAAATCAAAAGAATTCTTTGAGAGTAATGAATTAAAAACTTGACGGAAGCAGATTTTTTTTTTTTTTTTTTTTTTGGAAGCAGATTTTAACTATTTCTCATAGAAGCAGCTTTGCAGGCTTCTCAGAAAAGAATATTTGAGGTTACGAAGCCCAAGCATCAATGCAGCTGCTGAGACGCGATTGCAAGGCCGTATCAAAGACGGTGACATAGAAACGTTGCTCGATACTGTGGTAAAGGATGTGGCTTCAGTGCCCTTGTCCAGCGAAATCATAGTTCGACATATTTGGGAGCTGACTAACGAGATGGAAGGCTAACTCGTAGGAAAAAAATGAAACCAGCAAAGTATTTCGCCTTGAAACTAGAGGAATACACAAATACTCTTCACGTGACCCTCCATTGAGTATAGGTATGATTTAAACATGACCGTGATGGGAAGAAACAGTTCTTTTATTTTCTCAGCTTCATGGCCAATAAACACAACTGTGAGCTGTATAAAAATATGAAGGATTACGCTGTCCATAAATGTGTCTGGAGCTAGGATTTTGTGTAGGATTATATTCTAATGGCACAGCTGCAATGCCTGGAAACATTCTGGGTTCATTACCCAGTTTCAGGAACTTGTGCCAGAATGTAAATCAACATACCCCTTCCTTCGTCAAGAAAATTTCGCTACAAAAGTCAGCTGAACCAAATGGGAAATTCATAGATCTGAAATCCCTTTCTTCCATAGAAAGATCATTTAAATTTCATTATGATGTCAGAGGGTAAGTTGTTGGAAGTGGCTACTGGTAAAGGATTGAAGACAAATTTTGCTCCATTTTGTATAAAAATTCTAAATAAACAACCCAGGCTTGCTCAAATTACTCTCAAATATCTTCTTCCATTCTGTCAAAATACCCCAGTAAGACTGGTTTCCTTACTACGAGTGTTATTTTTTTTTTTAAGATTTTATTTATTTATTTGACAGAGAGACACAGCGAGAGAGGGAACACAAGCAGGGGGAGTGGGGGAGGGAGAAGCAGGCTTCCCGCTGAGCAGGGAGCCCGATGTGGGGCTCGATCCCAGGACCCTGGGATCATGACCCGAGCCAAAGGCAGACGCCCAACGACTGAGCCACCCAGGTGCCCCTGTGAGTGTTATTAAAACGAAGCATTTGGAAAGCATTTGGGAAGCTTAGATGTACGTTGCTACCTACAAGTAGCGTGTTATCATCAGTTCAACCAGGCTTGGAAAGTGAGTAAACAAGCTCATTTGTCACATAAAAACCCTTAAATACTGATGTGAATGGTGCTGTTCAAATGATGCAGCCAGGCATCTAATACATGGAATCTTATTTCACTCATAAATTTTTGCTTAGTTATGACGTTGCACCAACCAAAAGTTAACGAAGGTAGTAGGGACTGACTGGGTTAAATTGTACATACACTTTCAAGAACAATATGTTCAATTTTTATAATTTTTCCCCTTTTTTGTTCTGTTTATTTGTATTAAAATGTATGTGTAACAATCTAGTAATAAATGAATCTATGTAAAAACTGGACTTGTATTTTATATGTCTTTGTTTTTAATTTTTTTATTGTATTAAAAGAAGTATTCACCTGTAACAGATTGAAAATGGGAAAAAAAGGAGTAAGATCCTTTACAATTGAGTATGCTGTTTTAGAAGGCCAATATGGTACCAGGGAATCCATAGCACCACAAGAGTATGCTTACTCAAAACCTACCATCCTAGGCCTCAAAGAATTCCAGCCCCAAAGGCCCTGAGGCTATGTCCAGGACCCATGCAAGCTTCTTCTCTGGGAGAATACTGTTGGAGGAGACCAGTGCTTTCAGTGTGCAGATCCCTAGACCCCGAGTGCTTATGAGGGTATAGGCAGAGCTAGGATATACAGGCTGTGCGTGCTGAAGGCCCCTTACAGTGTGAAGAGGAAAAGAAGGAGACAGGCTAGGGGCTTAGAGCCAGCTCATCCAGTGGCATCATGTTCCAGCATGAACTCCATAGAATTCAAATTTGACCCAGATTAAGAAGATATATTTGTTGCACAGTGAAGGAAACCATCAACAAAACAAAAAGGCAACCTACTGAATAAGAAGATATTTGCAAATGACATATCTGATAAGGGGTTAATATTCAAAATACATAGAGAACTTATACAATTCAACACCAAAAAAACAAATAATTTGATTAAAAAATAGGTAGAGGAGCTGAATAGACATATTTCCCAAGAAGACATACAGATGGCCAACAAACACATGCTTGACATCACTAATCGTCAGGGAAATACAAATCAAAACCACAATAAAAATATCACACCTATCAGAATGGCTAGAATTAAAAAGATAAGAAATAACAAGTGTTTGGTGAGGATGTGGAGAAAAAGGAACCCTCATGCACTGTTGATAGGAATGTCAATTGGTACAGCCACTGTGGAAAACAGTTCCTCAGAAAATTAAAAATGGAAATACCATAAGATCCAATAATTCAACTACTGGATATTTACCCCAGGAAAATGAAAACCTTAATTTGAAAAGATATACGCACCCACCCTTATGTTTATTGCAGCATTATTTACAATTGCCAAGATATAGAAGCAGCCCAAGGGTCCATCAGTAGATGAATGGGATTCTATCTACAATGGAATATTACTCAGCCATAAAAATAGTGAGATCTTTCCATTGGTGACAACATGGATGGATCTAGAAGGTATCATGCTAAGGGAAATAAGTGAGTCAGAGAAAGACAAGTACCATGATTTCACTTATATATGGAATCTAAAAAACAAAACAAATGAATAAACAAAAAAGCAGAATCAGACCTATAAATACAGAGAACAAACTGGCGGTTGCCAGCGGGAAGGGGCATGAGCAAAATGGGTGAAGGGAAGCGGGAGACACAGGACAGGCTTCCAGTTATGGAATGAATGTGTCACGGGAGTAAAGGTATAGCATGGGGAATATAGTCAGTGGCATTGTGACGGTGTTGTGTGGTGACAGACGGGAGCTGCGGTTAGAGCGAGCTCAGCATAGCATAGACAATTGCAGAATCACTATGTTGTACACCCAAAACTAATGTAACATCATGTGTCAACTATACTCAGATTTTTTTAAAAAGGTCTGTCAAGGCAAAATGATCTAATGTATTAACAGTTGCTAGCTTCATTTATGACTTTAGAAGTTTTAGACATTTGGAATGTGGGCCTCCATTTTGTTCTTTTGTCCGGGCCCCACAAACATTGAGGGAGGACCTATCCAGGATATACATCAAAACTGGAGCCCTACATTTGGCAGTCAGCGTGGAGGGGATATTTGAAGCTGAGGGAGAGGCAGTGAAGTGTGAACAGGTGAAGTCCTACATTCAGGCTGCCATCTCTGAAACACTTACAAGCAACCTCCTAGCTGTAGACCTTTGGACTATCTTTCTGTACCTCCGCTTTCTCATCTGTAAAATAGGATGTTCATAGCACCTACTTCATGGCATGGTTTTGAGGATGAAATGAGTTCACCCGTGTAAAGCACTTAGAAGAGGCTTGGCCTAGAGTAAGCTCTCAACACCAAGGGAGCAGCTAAATTACATGGGGAAAGAATACCGAGCAAGAACAGCAGACTCTCAGGGGCACCCTGGAAACAAAGTCCAGAAATATAGAAAGGGAGGAGTGTCCAGCACCCACCACAGGGCCTAGCAGGTGGTAAGTAAGTGCTCAGTAAATGTGGATGGATTTGAAAAATATCCTGGGCAGGAGACAGAAGGAGCCCTTCACACACTGAATGCAGCAGAAGGGTCAGATGGGGGAGGGAGGGTACTGATGAAAGCCGATTGAATTCACAGGCAGGAAATACCTTGAAAAGGATGTTTCATCTCACAGGAAGTGAGATTGCAATAGATGAAGGAACAAGTGGGTAGCTATTTCTCTTTTTAGTTTAGTTTAGGAACCCTAGTGGAAACTTCTCTCTTTAGAAATTAGTGTAGACAATGAAAGAGATAAAATAGTAGCTTGAGGGGCATGCACGGTTGAAAGAAAGTTCTTTTGTGTGGCTAGAGAAAGAGCAGTGGGGAGGAAGGGATGATTAATGGAGCAAGAATCTAGAAGAAGGATGGGAGGAGAAGAAATCAAGAGAAAAAGACATAGGGGTCAGTCTAACAAAAGAACATTCTGCCTGAGGCGAAGGATGTGGGGAAAAGCGATAAGAATATAGAACATTTCGAAGGGTGATAAACTGAAGTTCTTGAAGTTTGTACAAGGGAACTTTAATTTCCAGACGAGCAAATACGCACAACCCAGTGGTGGGAAGTTCAGTACCTTCTGTGTTGTGGCCCATGAGGTAAGGTGACTCACACATTCTAGCCCCCAGCTGGCTTACCTTCCAATACTACACAGGGTCTCCAGGCCAGATTTAGCCTGTGATGGACTGAGAACCAGGAATGGTTTTCACGGTGTTTGTTTGTTTGATTGTGGTAAATTATACCAAACATAACTTTTACCATTTTAAAGTATACCATAAAGTGGCATTAAGTACATTCACCAAGTGCCACTGCGTGCTTATTTATCATGGAAGTTACCTCATCTTCAAGGTGACACACGTGGGCAGGTAGAAAAGGAGGGGGATGCTCTCGACCCAGAGGTAATAATTCAGAATTCTAATCTCAGTTAATTCCGTGTGTATGCTGAGTAAGTCACTTCACTGAGAGCTGCTCCCATTTCTTCCAGCCAACATTACGCTCTTGAAAAAACAAAGTGCTCGAATTAGAATGCTTGCTTTATGCTATTCGTGCGTGCTCTCTATTTTCCCACACAGCCGTGCGGGTGAGTAATCGTGACATCACCATACACACACTCCTTATATGAACTCTGCTACAGGAATGCACATGATGTGCAGACCCCTGCTTTTTTTTCCTATATGATTAATCTCTCTATTATTAGAGATTTTCTTCCTGACTTGAATATACTGGTCCTATCGAGAGAATAACATTTCTTAACATTTCTCTCCCATGGTCCCCTCTCCCATAAAAAGGAAATGTTTCCAGTCTTGTTCCATGTGAGAGAAGTTGGGAGAGGGAAATGACAGAGAAGTGAAGAAACTAATTTAAAATAGAATAAAGGGGAAAACAGCACACACACTTCCTAACAGCTGACAAGATGACTCTCGAGGTCAGAACGGATGAAACAAGACCCAGAAAGTCGATAACTAGTCCTATGGGAGAGGTTGGTAGGGAAAATAAGAGGTCTGTCAGAGACAAGGACGTTCTTGCAGAGGTGAGAAGGGGATTTACTCTTGAAGTCCATACCCAGGAGACCGTGTCACTTGGGCCCTTGTGTTTTGTAGGCAAAGAACAGTCTGTGCAATCGCTTCTGCCCCAGCCAGCCCGTGACAGGCAACACCAGACATCTGAGAGATAATTAGCTGCTTGCCCTTCATTTTCAGCCGACAACTAGACAATTGTGGGTGCAATTATTTGTGTGTAACGATAGATAAAGAACTACGCACCTTGTGAAAGGGAGATAGATAGAAGTGGGGCCCCCTTTTAATAAGTCAGTGTTTAAAATCCAAGCACGCATGTAATTTGATTAGTGGAAGGACACCGCTGGCTTCTTTGAAATTACATTTTTACACTTTAACAAGTGCTTTCCCTGGCCCATCTGTGGGCCTCACCACAGCACCATTAGCATGGTATAATCATAATTAAACCCTTCGTAAGAAAGGCCCCATCACAGCCAGACCAACCGTGGAGCCCACCAGACCACAGAGGTACCCGACGGCCAACATACAAATGGCACAAATGCAGTGCCCAAAGGTCGAAGGGTGAAAGTTATTGCATCTTGCTGGACATGGAAAGACATCCACCAACAGGCGTCCAGTGCGGGGCCGGACACGTGGAAGGTAGGCGGCGAGTGTTTCCTGAGCCGAGGCTCCCTTCGGGCCCACACGGCACTGAGAGCACGCCCTTACTTTAGCCCTTCGTGCTCTGCGTTGCTCCCTCTCCCTCAGGGTCTTGCGAGCTACGGTGGGGACAGTCCCGTGCTATTTCCATCTTTTAGTTTCCTCAGCTTATTTCTGTCCCTGGCAGCAGAAAGCAAATTCACACTAGCTTCGATCCAACAAAAGGGAACAAAATGAGTGGCCCATGGAGGCAGGGCTCTTGGCAGGGCTCTGTTTCTTGCTTCCAGCCTCTTCCAGTAAACTGGCCTCCTCCACTCTGCTGCAGGTGGCCATCCTCCACGTATAAGCTACTGGGTCTTCAGTCAGCCTGCAGAAGCTTCAATCCGGGCCTACCACTTACCTAGAAAGGTTCCTTAACTGCTGTCAGGAGTTTCTATCTCTGTAAATGGGGAAAATAGTAGCAATACCTACTGTATTGGGTTATTGTAAAGATGAAGTGAGTAATAGATGTAAGGAAGTCACATAGAATGTGCTCGATACATGTAACCTGTGTTAGCGTTTCTTGTCTTTTTTTTTAAAGATTTTTTTAAATTTTATTTATTTGAGAGAGAGAGAATGAGAGAGAGCACATGAGAGGGGGGAGGGTCAGAGGGAGAAGCAGACTCCCCGCCTAGCAGGGAGCCCGATGCGGGAATCGATCCAGGGACTCCAAGATCATGACCTGAGCCGAAGGCAGTCGCCCAACCGACTGAGCCATCCAGGTGCCCTCTTGTTGTCTTTAATGGAGGAGGCAGGGAGACAGACATGACCACAGACAATTCGAGGCTTATTAAACACCCTACCTTAGTGACCCCAAAAGAAAGAGGGAACAGTTCCATCTCCGCATCTATAGAATCAATCTGGGGGAGGGACTCTGATTAACCAAGCCTTCTTGACGGTTTACTGGATTGCAGGCACCATCGTAGGTCATTCCGTGCATTACCTCCATTAATTTTCACCATGAGGGCGCCTGGGTGGCTCAGTTGGTTGCGCGACTGCCTTCGGCTCAGGTCATGATCCTGGAGTCCCTGGATCGAGTCCCACATCGGGCTCCCTGCTCGGCAGGGAGTCTGCTTCTCCCTCTCCCACTCCCCGTTTGTGTTCCCTCTCTCGCTGTGTCTTTCTCTGTCAAATAAATAAATAAAATCTTTAAAAAAAAAAAAAAGGAAATTTTCACCATGATATAGGTGCCATTTTTATCCTCATTTTACAGATGAGCGAACCGAGTCTTCCAGACATTTAATAGAGAGCGTGCAGAGACGGGCCACCTTTTTCTGTAAAGAACTGGATAGTAAATATCTCAGGCTCAGCAGGCCATCTGGTCTCCATCACAGCTACTCGACTGTGTCGGAGCGTGAAAGAAGCAGCACTCAATATGTAAACAAAAGAGCATGGTTGTATTCAAATAAAACTTTTCATCAGAATTCGAATTTTATAATATTCATGTGTCAGGAAATACTATTCTTTTGATTCTTTTTCCCAATCATTTAAAAATATAAAAACCATTCTGAGCCCATGGGCCGTACAAAAATAGGCAGCAGGCTGGATTTGGTCCTTGGGCTGTTGTTTGCTGACAGTTGAGTCATTTGCCCAAAGCCACACAGCTAAAAATGGTGGACCCCAGCCTTAGGTCCGGGCAGCGGGACTCTGGAGTCCACCCACTTAACCACATCAGCCTCTCATTGTGTAAAAATGTATTATTATTGAAGAATTGAGTCAATGAGACTGGAAGGAAATACTTAAGACTTTGAAATAAGCAAAGGATACTACTGGACAGGCTCTCAGTGGAATGTCAGAACCTTCAAGGATATGGCTTGGCCATTTTATACTCTCTCTTGGAGCAAAATAGGGGCACCTGGGTGGCTCAGATGATTAAGCATCTGCTTTCAGCCCAGGCCATGATCCCAGGGTCCTGGGATCAAGCCCCACATTGGTCTCTTTGCTCAGTGTGGAGCCCGCTTCTCCCTCTGCCCTTCCCCTTGCCCGTGCTCCCTCTCAATCTCTCTCTCTCTCTGACAAATAAATAAAATCTTAAGAAAAAAAAAGAGTTCTAGCCACTACAGGGACAATGATAAAACAGCAAAATTCAGGACATATTAGAAATACAAGTCATGGGGCGCTTGGATGGCTCAGTCAGTTGAGCAACCAACTCTTGATTTCAGCTCAGGTCATCATCTCAGGGTCATGAGATTTAGCCCCGTGACAGTCTCCGAGCTCAGTGTGGAGTGGCCCATTGCGCACCCTCCTAGTTTTCCTAGTTCTTGTCCTGCCAATCAGTTAGTCCCCACCCAGTGTGTTTGGATTCGACGCCAGGCTAACCACAGAGATTGTCGCCCAAGGGAGTCTACTGTGGCCCAATCGTCACACTGACCTTGGTCTATTGAAATGCTTTGTTTTCGGGTGCCTGGGTGGCTCAGTTGTTTAAGCATCTGCCTTCAGCTCAGCTCATGATCCTGGAGTCCTAAGATAGAGTCGTCCTGCATGGGGCTCCCTGCTCAATGGGGAGTCTGCTTCTCCCTCTGCCCTTCACCCTGCTTATACTCTCTCTCGCTCTGTCTCAAATAAATAAAGTCTTTAAAAAAAAAGAAAGAAAGAAAGGAAAGAAAAAGAAATGCTCTGTTTTACCAGGATCTGCCTCCAAATATGGAGCACCCCAGGAGAAGAAGTTATTTCTCAATTCTTAGCCCCTACCCTCAAATGCATTCTGTGAGTTTCAAGCTATCCCGAATAGTCACCTCCTTGGGCTTACCTAGAATTTTCTGGTTTTTCTCTGGTCTACGGCAGTGGTTTTCAAAGCGTGGTCCTCAGACCAGCAGCACTGGCATCACCTGGAAGCTTCTTTGAAATCGAAATTCTCAGGCCCACCCCCAACCTACTGCATCAGAAACTCTGGGGATGAAGCCCAGCAACCTGTGTTTTAACAATCCCTCCAGGTAATTCTAATGCAAGTTCAAGTATAAGAACCACCCACCGACGGCATCTTTACTCAGGAGGCAGAGGTCTGCTCCATGGTCCACTCCAGTGCCGGTGTCCTGGGACTCTGGCCACTTGTCAGAAGCCACACTATGAAGCCTGTTGATCCCTCCTCTGCTTCTCCAGGCCGGCTTTTCCACTTTTTTCTGTTGATAAGCCTTGTCCTGACTGGACCGCCCACCAGGTTCCTCTTTCTGGCATGAGGATGATCTCAACTTTGGCACAGAGAGCAGAGCTGATGCACACACACCCAAGCAGAAGGAAGTCATTCCTGACCCAGTGCTCCAGCTCTGCACGTCCCGAAAGACATCCTCTCCCAACTGTGGCCCTTGTGACATTGTCATATATATAATAAGAAATATATATTTGGTCTTCCTCTCTAGTTCCTGGCACAGAACTCCCAAAACCCTTGTAACTTCCTAAGTCCTAAGAGGAGAAAGGAACAGCTTTTGTTATAATATTTAGTTTTTGTCCCCAGTTCCTGAAATAGCTCTGGAGTGTGAAATGTGAAAGGAGCATCTTTTGTGATTCCTAACAAGGCCCTTCCAACCACAAATGAATTTATGTTAATGAGGCGACTTTTGAAAAGGATGGGTGCTGGTTGCCAGAGGAACCGGCTATGTGATTAGAGGGTTGGAACTTTTAGTCCTACCTTCACACCGCCACCTCCAAGGAAGGGAGAAGGGGAGAAGCGATTATGGCCAATGATTTAATCAATCATGCATACCTAATGAAACCTCCAAAAAGTCCTAACTGAAGGGGTTGGGACAGGTGGGGAAACGCATCCACATGCTGGGACGGCGGCATTCCTGGAGAGGGCTTGGGAGCTCTGTGCATACCTCGCCCTATGAATCTCTTCCGTCTGGCTGTTCCTAAGTGGTATCCTTTATAATAAACTGGTATATGTAAATGTTTCCCTGAGTTCTGTGAGCCATTCTAGCAAATTATTGAACTTCAGGAGAGCCATTAGGAACCTCTGATTCGTAGCCAAGTCGGACAGAGTTGTGGGTAACCTGGGGACCCACTACTTAGGATTGGCATCTGAAGGGAGGGCAGTCTTGGGACGCCTGGGTGGTTCAGTCTCTTAAACACCTGCCTTCAGCTCAGGTCATGATCCCAGGGTCCTGGGATCGAGCCCCACATCGGGCTCCTTGCTCATCAGGGAGCCTGCTGCTCCCCCTGCTTGTGCACCCTCACTCTCTTTCTCGCAAATACATAAATGAGATATTTTTTTAAAATGAAGGGAGGGCAGTCTTGTGGGACTGAGCTCTTAATCTGTGGGGTCTGACACTATCTCTGGGCAGATAGTGGCTGAATTGAATTGAATTATAGGATACCCAGTTGGTGTTGGCAGAGAATTGGAGAATAGATGGGTGTGAAAAACCCACAATTTGCTGTCTTAAATACTGTGAGGAGAGAGAGAAATGGAGTTTCATTCTTCCTTTCCCTTCTCAACCCTACAAAATAGGAGCAGTCCCCCAGAACTGTCTTTTTAGACTCCCTGACAAAATAGCAATACTTTCTTATTATTTTCTGTGTTTTCTGGTTTCCATACAATGTGCAAAGATTTTGTTTATATCGGGGGCAGGGTAGTGATTTTATTTAAAAAGGCAAAACAAAAAGTGTTGAGGCAATGATCCCAGTTTTGAAAGAAAGATGTGTGTGTGTGTGTGTGTGTGTGTGTAAGACACCCGTGGTGGTCATTGCTGGCGATAGGATTATAGGTAATTTTAGTGGTTTACTTGCCTTCTCATTATTTTCCAACTTCTTACAAAAATGATTGAAGCTAGATACATCATGCATAACATCCTCATATTCCTTATTATCTCATGTTACCTAAATGATCCATCAAATTGTAAGGAAATCATGAGTTTCTCATTGTGTTTAAGTCAAACTGACTTGTCTGGGGTCCAGCAGCACATCAAATAATCTTTAAAACACTTATCAGATCCTCAAAAATGAAGGCCTATAAAGCCACGGATCTGGACCCAAATGCCGGCCCCGCAGCTGTATTCCCAGGACACTGAACAGCGCCCGACCCTCGGATGACACTGAGTAAGTGAACAGAGCACTTAGCAGCCTCTGTTTCCCAGAAGCTGTCCTCAGTTACACTGGGCATGGATTTTGCTCTTTTTGGTCCAAGTCAGTTGCTTCTAAAGAAGGAAACCTCCCTCCCTGTTTACCATGCAGGACTTAACACAGACGAATGCCTCATCCTTGAAAAAAGTGGTGGAAACTGTATATACTTTATGGTCAGATAAACCTGGCACCAAATCTCAGCCTCCTGCGTACAACCGAAATCTGCTCATTAGGGAAATTCTGCATACATCTATGTACAAAGGCACCAGGAACGGAGGAGCTTACCACCCAGCTGGGTACCTCTCAGGGGTTCTGTTTTCTCCTCTGTCAAATGGAGCTGATAATTACTAGGCAGCGTTGCTCAGAGCCTTAAATCAGTGCACAGAAAATGCCTGGATGTTTGGCAAACAGCTATTTTTATTCATATTGCTGTTGAATTTAAAGACAAATGACTACCCTATAATGTTTTCTGAAATTGAATTGAAATCAACAAACACGGTCTGAGTCGCTATTTTATTCCAGGCTCTGCACTAGGTAGGGACCTTCAGGATTAGAAAGGGAGGTACAAATCTGTTACTGTGCTCTTAGAAATCATCACCTATAGCTTTACAAAAGTAATCGTGTTTTCCTTGGCAATATCAGCCTGGGGATAAAGAGTCAAAGGTACAGGGTCGCCTGGGTGGCTCAGTCGTTAAGCGTCTGCCTTCTGCTCAGGTCATGATCCCAGGGTCCTGGGATCAAGTCCCGCATCGGGCTCCCTGCTCAACGGGGGAGCCTGCTTCTCCCTCTGCCTCTGCCGCTCCCCTCCTTGTACTCGTGCACGCGCGTGTGCTCTCTCCCCCTCTCAAATAAATAAATACGTAATCTCTTTTTAAAAAAGAAAACATTTTTCTGATACTCGTTACAGTGGTAAGGAAGGCTTTATTCAAGACCATTGCAATAGAGGTACTGTAATAATTGAAAGATTCAGCTCAACTCCAAATACAGCAGAGATATCTGGGGACTTATAGCCAATGAGCCGAGTGAGGGGTCAGTGGGTGGAAAATTGCTAAGAAGAGACCTCAAGGGTGGGATTTAGCAAGATTCTTGCTCCAACAGGGCTGGATGGCTGGGTAGGCCAAAGATAGGACTGGGGCCAAGGTTGAGGATTCATCAAAAAGTCTCAGGAAAGGGGTGCCTGGTGGCTCAGTCAGTTAAGCATCTGTCTCTTGGTCTCAGCTCAGGTCTTAATCTCAGGGTTGTGAGTTCAAGTCCAGTGCTGGGCTCCAATCTGGGCTCCATGCTGGGCCTGGAGCCTACTTTAAAAAAAAAAAAAAAAAGGCTCAGTGAAGCCTCACTAATTTTTGGTCAAGGAGGGACTCTTTATCATAATGTTGCCTGCTTTAAAATGTGGGTCTTGAAACTGAACAATGTAGTGCAGACAGTACCTGACCAAGGCAGGGCCTAGAAGGATTGTGTCTTTTCTTTTTTTTTTTTTTTAAAGATTTTATTTATTTATTTGACAGAGAGAGACACAGCGAGAAAGGGAACACAAGCAAGGGGAGTGGGAGAGGAAGCAGGCTTCCCGATGAGCAGGGAGCCCGATGTGGGGCTCGATCCCAGGACCCTGGGATCATGACCTGAGCCAAAGGCAGACGCTTAACGACTGAGCCCCAGGATTGTGTCTTTTCTTGAGTGGATGTTCTCTCCTATTCACTGTTGACATTAAATTGCTGTGTAGCCATAACCATTCTGTGCCTGACTTAGAATTAAGATCTCAGGCAAGGAAAGCGTCAGGTGCTTACTCACAAGAACTCTTCTCTTTCCAATCTATCCATCATCTTACTACCCAAATTATCTTCCTCAAATATATACCTGAGCAACCTCCAATTGTCCACTGAGTAAATCTAACCACCTCAGCATGGCAGATAAGCCATCACAATGAGATCGATTAGTTTGAGTGAATTCCCCCAAATCTGATATCTCAGGTCTAATCCAAACCATCTGCCCTGAAGCAGAGTACTGGGGAGGTGTATGAGGATTCTCCAGAGGAACAGGACCAGTACTATATAGAGAAAGATCTATAGAGGAGATATTTTTTTAATTATTTTTTTTATTATGTTATGTTAATTACCATACATTACATCATTAGTTTTTGATGTAGTGTTCCATGATTCATTGTTTGCGTATAACACCCAGTGCTCCATTCAATACGTGCCCTCCTTAATACCCATCACCAGGCTAACCCATCCCCCACGCCCCTCCCCTCTAGAACCCTCAGTTTGTTTCTCAGAGTCCATAGTTTCTCATGGTTCGTCTCCCCCTCCACTTTCCCTCCCTATAGAGGAGATTTATTATAAGAACTCATTCATGAGGCGATGGAGGCCAGTAGTCCCATCATCTGCCATCTGCAAGCTGGAGAACCAGGAAAGCTGGTGGTATAATTCAGTCTAAATCCAAAGCCCTGTGAATTGGAGTGTTAATGGTGTAAGTTCCTATCTGAGTCCAAAAGCCAAGAACCAGGAACTCCCATGTCCAAGGGCAGAAGATGGATGGACATCTCAGTTCAACCAGAAAAAGCTAATTCATACTTTCTCCACCTTTTTTTGTTCTATTTGGGGCCCTCCATGGATTGGATGATGCCCACATTGGGAAGAGTCATCTGCTTTACTAAGTTCACCTCTTCAAATGCTAGCCTCTTCTGAAAACACCCTCACAGATACCCCCAGAAACAGTGTTTTACCAGCTATCTGGACATCCCTTCAGCCCCACCAAATTGACACATAAAATTAACCATCACAGAAGGGGTGGGCCCTGAGGTGGCTTAAGGGGGTAGGGATGGGCTTCTATCCAAGACCCCGGAGAAATCTGGGCACAGATGCCACAAGCCACATCATGGAGGGTTGCTAAGACCAAAACCAGCCAAATGAGTCCTGAGGTGATCAGGTGTGCTGGGCAAAGGGAAGTTAAACACTAACTCCCCATGAAGGACGTTTCAGGGAGGGCAATGAGTATATCCATCAAGGCTGGTGGGGGGTAGGTGAGGGGTTCTGGAGATGGAGTTGAGCTCCTACAGTGGCTCCCCCTCATTATGGAAGCATGAGTCTGTGTGCACAGGACAGGTTTCATCACAGGTGCTGTCATGATTTTGACAGAATGAGACATTTTGAGTCTTTGAGACCATAAAGCTAGAGATTAGACTTAGAACAGGGCAAACAAGGTCTTATC